AAAAATCCCAGTATCTATACCACCATTTGTAAACGCTATAGCTTTCACATAAACCAATTAATTTACACGTATTGGGATTTTTTTTTTTTTTTTTTTTGTTAGCAAAGACATGTCGCAGAATACATTTTGGCCTAAATTTATGTCGAAATTTATTTTTTTTTACTGGACATGTTTAATAGCAAAAAGTCCAAAATATTGTTTTTATTTTCTCAAAATGGTTGTTTTTTTTTTTTTGCTTATAGCATATAGGCGATCAAATACCACCAAAAGAAAGCTCAATTTGTGGGAAAAAAAGGGATGTAAATTTCATTTGGATGTAGTGTTGCATGACCGTGCATTTGTTAGTTAAAGTAATGCAGCGGCGTAACACAAAATGGCCAGGTCAGGAAGGGGGGTAAATCCTCACAACAGTAAAATCTGTAAGCAGTAAAGCATGCTTGTTATACTCACTGTGGAACCTAAGGGGTTAATTATCCACAGAATGGATGTTTGATCCTCTCTTCTCTGACTCTCCCCGTCTTCTTGTCTCCCAAATATATATCCTGACAGAACAGAGGCTCGGGACAAGCTGCAAATTGCTCAGTTTGGTGTGTATTGCTAGAGTTTTCTTTTTCTTGCGAGAGAGTACATGTGATTAGCACAGTGCCAATCAGCGCTCTCCATACAGAGGTCAGTGGTGCTGCATCCTGCTACAGGAGAATGAAAACTCCTCCTACAAGCTGTAACCAGTGCTCTGCTGGACACTGATAGAAAAGGTATTTAGCAGTTTATATTTACTAAAATAGTTGCAATTCCATGTTCTGTGTACTGTGGGAGACCAGATATAGTGACTGCAGGGTCCTGGGTTTAGTAATACTTTAATTACAAATTACAGGAGCATCACAAACTTGGAATGCAATTATCTCTTACAATTTTGAGAAGGTGCCAATAATTTTGTCCAGTCCATTTTTGGGGTTTTGCGTGGAATGTGTCAGATTTGGCTTTTTGTTTCTCCACTTTTTTTGTGTCAGACCAATACAAACAAAAGAAATAAACATGAGAATGCCTAAACATTTGTAATTGCAACAATTCTCTGGGTGAAGTGGTGCACTGTCTGACAGAAATGCAGGGGTGCCAATATTTTTGGCCATGACTGTATGTAGGGAATGGCCACTTTATTATACATCTGCTTGTAAAACAAATAGCCTAACAGCAAGGTGTGTTGGAGGCAAAGTACGCAGATATGGTCACCCTACATATAACAGGAAAATACATGTAGAATAATTGTTGGTAGCAGCCATGGTGGTTGCAGCTTCTGTGCAACTGACTGCAGAGAATGGTGCGCAAAAACAAAAAACGTCTTGTGAATAAAACCACCTTGTTTATGAAGTAGGTCAACAGAGAATCCCTACACTTGTTCAAGTTGACTGGAAATCCAAAACTGCCTCAAAAGGTCCACAGCTGCTACCCAAAGGGATGTGTAGAAAGGTACCCAAGAATGCTTAATACATTGTACCTTGAGGTGGCATACCAGCGTTCTACTACTGTTATCTAAGAAAAGGAAAATGAGCTTACAGTGGGCTCTAGGTCCTAAAACTGCACAACTAATGGCTGGAAAGATTTTTTCCATGACAAATCTCAATTTGTGTTGACACATGTAAAGGTCAGAATTTGCTGCATACATCATGAATTCTTTTGTATATTGTATCATGAGAAGCTAGCATCTGTGACTGAAAAATGTGCAGAAACTGAAAATTATTGAGTGTGAATGGATAAAATCCCCAAGGGTTCTCACCAGCAGCCATGTGTTGTGGTGTGATGGGATGTCATTCATTTATTACTGAAATGTGCACTGCAGTACAGTACATGGTAATGCTCGCATTACAGCAATCTCATAGCATGTACAGGTCCCAAGAACTTTCCAGGATCATACTGAATCCAAAGTGTCTTAAGGGCTCCACTTCATACTAGACAGGTGTACCTAATAAAGTGCCCACGGAGTGTAGAATACAAGGAAATGTATGATAATCTCTGTCTCAGTTTAAATGCACTCAGAGATGATCAAAGATACCCAGGCAGTACCATGGAACCATAGCCCTTATGAACCAGTTACTTTTATTAGCGGAGTAGACCTTCTGCTAAGCACCCTGTAAGTCCTACAAAATATTTGTAAGAAATCATGTACATATTTCATTGGCACCCAAAAGTTTTGCAAACAAATTGTTAAAAAGCAGGTAGATTAGGCAGATAAACATACTGTGAACATCTTATACTGCATATGTACAAGAGAGAGCGAAGTAAGCAGGCCAAAACACCTCACATTATCATATTAAATACTGGATGAAGCGCTCTGCTATGCGGGTATTATACACAAAAAAATAAATCATTTTATGCAAATATATATAACAGAAAAAACAAAGTGACTGACTAGTGCTTAAATACAATATTAAAAGTGTAAACCAAATGAAAAACAACCAGTCTGCCCCCAGATGGCTAAAACTGGTTATACATGTGCACACACAACTTATATAAAAGTGACCAAGTGCTTACTTAAGTACATTGTGTATTAAAAAATTAATAAAAAAATCACAGTGAACAATCTCAAAAGTGCCAAGTGTTGAAATACAATCAATATACAAATTATATCATCATGTGTAAAAACATGCTATCACTCTTCTGTGATAAATATTTGTATATAAAATAAGTGCTTCTTCATCAACCACTTCAAAATTGTGCTCAGACCAAGGTGTCACTCTAGTGCATCAATCCCCAAATATCCAGAGTGCCTCCTCCCCTCCAACATTCGACCCCTAGAGGCCACAGATCATATACTTAAATGATGTTCCAGACCGATACCATGATATACCTTGTCTCCACGACTCCACAATAACTCCTCTAGTCCACTCAAAATCTTATTATATAGGATGACTCAGCCATATACCCATGGACCGTGGAAGAGTAAGCAGAAAAAAACATCTCCATAGCGCAATATGTTATTTTATTAGATATAAAGGCCAGATAAATAACTCACATGCTCCTAGTAGTTTACAAGCGGTTCCCCATATCCTATGGGTGTAATAGGAAATCACGATGGCGAAAACCGGAAGTGCGTCACCGGAAAAACGTCACCGAGCTCCACCCGAAAATGACGTCAATGCGCTCCACGCGTTACACCACTGTCACGTGGATTTTTCAGGATCCTGAAGATGCCCTGTGACAGTGGTGTAACGCGTGGAGCGCATTGACGTCATTTCCGGGTGGAGCTCGGTGACGTGTTTCCGGTGACGCACTTCCGGTTCTCGCCATCGTGATTTCCTATTACACCCATAGGATATGGGGAACCGCTTGTAAACTACTAGGAGCATGTGAGTTATTTATCTGGCCTTTATATCTAATAAAATAACATATTGCGCTATGGAGATGTTTTTTTCTGCTTACTCTTCCACGGTCCATGGGTATATGGCTGAGTCATCCTATATAATAAGATTTTGAGTGGACTAGAGGAGTTATTGTGGAGTCGTGGAGACAAGGTATATCATGGTATCGGTCTGGAACATCATTTAAGTATATGATCTGTGGCCTCTAGGGGTCGAATGTTGGAGGGGAGGAGGCACTCTGGATATTTGAGGATTGATGCACTAGAGTGACACCTTGGTCTGAGCACAATTTTGAAGTGGTTGATGAAGAAGCACTTATTTTATATACAAATATTTATCACAGAAGAGTGATAGCATGTTTTTGCACATGATGATATAATTTGTATATTGATTGTATTTCAACACTTGGCACTTTTGAGATTGTTCACTGTGATTTTTTATTAATTTTTTAATACACAATGTACTTAAGTAAGCACTTGGTCACTTTTATATAAGTTGTGTGTGCACATGTACAACCAGTTTTAGCCACTTGGGGGCAGACTGGTTGTTTTTCATTTGGTTTACACATTTAATATTGTATTTAAGCACTAGTCAGTCACTTTGTTTTTTTCTGTTATATATATTTGCATAAAATTATTTATTTTTGTGTATAGTACCCTCATAGCAGAGCGCTTCATCCAGTATTTAATATATTTTTTCTTTGTCCCACGGTATAGGGTATAGATGATAGCAGCTAGCTATATTTAGGCATTCTGTGGAGCGCAGGAGGATATTCATATTGTCTATTTTTATACCTCACATTATCAGCTGACATGGCAACATAGCAGTCCTTCATGTCTGTATAAAAATGTTGGTTATGGTTACACTCTTGCCCTGTTTATATGAAAGTTCAATAGCTGACATCAAATGTGGTTAATAATATAGAACTATTCTAGACTAATTACAAATATTGCATAAGACCACACACTGTTGACGTCAACCATGCTAGCAAACTTGATCAACTGGCTTCAGCTTTGTCTCCATTGGGTACAACCCTCTCTTAGGTTTGCATACATTTCAGGGTTAAAGCTTCTCGGGTCTGAAAATATATTTAGAGGTTATGCCCTTTTTGCAAAAATAACACTTGGTTTTATATTTTTGGAAGCTCAATTCAAATCTATAATAAATAATATGCATGAAAAGATAATGTAAACTGAATTCTTGTAATGTAAACTTATCTTCTCAGTTGTCAATTACAGCTGTGAAAGCTGGACACAATGAAAATTGGACAGAAAGAAGATCGACTTTATGCATGCTGTGTGCAGCCCATAGAACTAATATTTCAATTTTGAAAAAGATCAAAACAGGCTATGACACTAGAAGCCCAAATGATGAAGATACAACTGTCCTATTTTGATCACACTGTCATAAGAAAGAGATCACTGGAGAAGGAAATAATATTTGAGAAGATTGAAGGCACCAGGTTAAGAGGGAGACCAGCTACTAGATGGTTGGACACATTGACTACAAGCTGTGGGGATGACTCTGGAAGATCTCACAAAACTAGCACATAATGGACTTCTTTTTAGAACTCGCATTCATCAAATCGCTAGGACTCGAATTCAGCATATAATAAAAAAGCCACTTGATGCCACTGCAATTTACCTCAATGTTGGTCAGTGTTAAGGTGTTTTCCACATTCCTTTGTGCTATCTCCACTTTTGGGGCTACCCCGCACATTCCACAGATCATATCGTTATAGTCTCGGATAGTGAGACATTCAAATGCCCAGTATCCACAGCTCAGAAAATCCTGGACTGCCAGCAGCTCTTCCGGGCTCAGCAACTTCTCTGACAGAAGAAAGGCACAACACAAGTTTAAGGAGGACAATTATAAAAGCACAAAGAGAACCAATACCAAGAGAATACAGAGGCTACCATTGCTAACCCCATACGGAGAATGCCAGCTGCCTAGATATACGAAGATCCTGTAGAGAGTCACAGCTCTAAAATAAAAATGTAGCTAGTGAAGTCATAGGCAAGTCAAAATGCATTATCTGCATATTTGTTTTAGGTCAGTGACAGGAAACTAGTATTTTCAAAAGAGCTTGGCAGTGGCAGTCCCCTCATTATGCCAGGACAGGTTTCTTTTAAGACAAAATGGAAAAAAATGGACACTAAAAAAAAAATTACACTGGAGATGAGATGTGGTCTGTGTGGGCAAAGTATGCACATTTTTACTGCAAGACAATTCAGCCTACGTGTACAATAATGCTGCTACATAATCATGCATTTTTTTGTGGTGGGTTTTTGTACATGTTTTTGAATAGTTTTCATATTTTTTTTTTGTAGGAGGAGACTGGATTTTATACACAAAACTGCCAAAAACACACTAAAAATGCATGTACATGCATTTTACCTGTTCTTTCCATGTGCTCCCATTGAAGTCCATGGGGACAAAAATGCATTACACTGCACCAAAAGAAGCATCTGCACTTTTTTTTTCAAAACTCACACCATTACATGTTGCATTAATGTGAAAGGGCACCATAGAGAGTAATGTGATTTCCACTGTCATGCATGGCAGACGTAGGAGAAATCACACTAGTGTGAATGGAGCCTAAATTTCAACACGTTTTTACAGGGATCACTGATCTCTAGCCACTTGCGGACCACTCACAGCACTTTTACTGCGGACAGCCGGTCGGCATGTACAGGCAAAGAGACGTACCAGTATGTCATTTTTTTTCTGCACTGACACAGGGGGGCGCTGTGCACCTGCCAGCCCTATGACCACTGTGTTCACAGCAGAACGTGGATCCTGGTACTTGGGATCCGGTAATCACTATGAAATCGCGATCACTATGAAATCGCGTGATCACAATGTCAACAAAGCTGTTATAAATGAGTTTCATTCATAACAACTCTGCTTCTGATACTAGTGAGCTGTGATTGGCCCATAGCCATCACATGGTACCTGGGTCAATCACAGAACCCTGTACCATGTGATTAGCTGTAGCCAATCACAGGTCACTAATATTTAGAGTCGTCATGAACTTAACCAAGTCACGACAGTTTAAAGCATTGCTGGTACAATGATCTTGATTGTGCCAGCAATCAAAGTGGAAAAAAAAAATCCCTGATCACCCCCTAGAGTAGTACAATTTTACCATGATAACACTGAACTACTCTGGTGAAAGTATTTTCAATAAAAATAGTAAAAAAAAATAAAACATAATGTTAAAATGTATGTGTGTGTGTGTATATATATATATATATATATATTTTTTTTTTTTTTTTTTTCACATTATGTCGTCATCAGTCATTGCCTCTGATCGCCGCCACACCAGTCATATCGTGACACTGTACTGCACTGGTGATAGTATATATATATATATATATATATATATATATATATAAAAAAAATGGTGAAAAAAAAATAAGAAAATCGTTTAATTTCTTCAATTTTCAAAAATCTGTGACAAAAAATGTAAACTTCAAAAATCTTGCCATGCCTCTTATTAAATACCTCAGACAGTCTACTTTCCAAATAGGGGTAATTTGGGGTATATTTGTACTGTCCTGACATTTTAGGGCCTCAAGAAATTAGATTGGCCATAAGTACATCAGGACTGATTAAACTTTTCGAATATATATACACACCATAGTTTGTGGCCACTTTAACCGCTTCCTGTTAAAGTGCTACAGGGCAGCATGGGTGCGTAATCATGGGATCCCAGCCAGTGATTACTCACCGGCACCCGGTGATTGAGGAGCAATGCCAACGGAAGGAGAGAACTGTAAGTAAACAATACAGTTCTCTCCCCTGTCAGCTCCAGTACTGTTTTGCATGGCTCTGTGTAGCACACAGCACACAGTTAACCCTTTGACCAACCCACATGTTAACCCCTTCCTGCCCAGTGCCATTTGTACAGTATCAGTGCTTTTATTAGCACTGATCACTGTATTGGTGTCATGGGGAAAACAGTTCACCCCAGTGTCAGAATGCCCGCCGCAGTCCCGCTATAAGTCACTGATCATCGCCATTACTAGTAAAAATTAAACAAAAAATCCCAGTATATATACACACACCTCCATTTGTAAACATTTTAACTTTCACATAAACCAATTACTTTACACGTATTGGGATTTTTTTTTTTTAACAAAGACATGTAGCAGAATACATTTTGGCCTTAATTTATGATGAAATTTGTTTAAAATTTTTTTACTGGACATGTTTAATAGCAAAGTCAAAAATATTGTTTTTTTCTCAAAATTTTCATTTTATTTTTTTATGGCCCAAAAATTAAAAATGTACAGTCGATCAAATACCACCGAAAGAAAGCTCTATTCGTGGGGAAAAAGGATGTAAATTTAATTTGGGTGTAGCGGTGCATGACCGTGCAATTGTCAGTTAAAGTAACACAGTGCCATAATACAAGAAATGGCCTGGTCAGGAAGGGGGGTAAATCCTCTGGAGGGCAAGTTAAACATTCCTACAGACTAAATAATGTTAACTTTTGGGATTTTTTTTTTTTTAACCAAAGACATGGAGCAGAATACATTTTGTTATTGGATATGTTTTTATAACAGAAAGTATTTTTTTTTTTCAAAATGTTCTTTTTTCTTTTATATAATAAAAAAAAACCCAGTGGTGACCAAATACCACCAAAGGAAAGCTCTATGTATGTGAAAAAATGATAAAAATTTAAATTCTATTCAGTGCTGCATGACTGCGCAATTGTCAGTTAAAGTGATGCAGTGCCGAAAAGCAAAAAATGGCCTGGTAATGAAGGGGTAAAATCTTGCCAAGCTCAAGTGGCTAGAAACCATATATGCTTACAGCATTCATCTTCTATGCACATACATCCTATTTTCTCCATTTGAGTGCAAGGGGAAAAACTGCCAAATTACAAGTGACTGCAACACTACAGAGAAATGGATTTTACAAGAGAAAGACCTCCTCATACAATACATAACTGCATATTTTGCAAAGACACAAGGTTATCGCCTATCGATTATGTGCATGCACAGGGTATCTAACAAAACAATGATAAGGCTCTACCTTTCATTTAACATGATTGCAAAGTAAACTGATTTCAATCTGTCCTGTACTGCAACCCAAACTGCAAGGGGATTCATTTAGTTCACGGAGATCCTCGCAGCACACTACAGTTAACCTACAAGTATAGTAGTTGATCTCTTAGAAGAACTGTGTCTCTGCTCCCCTATAGGACCCTAAGGGGTTTCAACATCATCATCATCTCACTTTGACCATAGAGTTATGTAGAAGCTGGGAATTTTGGTAAGGGTATCTGAGTTCTGAAATCTCCAAATTATACAAGCCTATGGCCTTGTTCAAATAGATGACATATTCTACCACCATTCTGAAAAGCGATCCATGGATCACTTTTTAGGGGGAAGTACAGCAGTGACTGCCAGACATTCAGGCAGCAGTACTATTGCCATGTGAATAGCTGTTTTTTTTTCCAACCAAAGGAAGATTCTCTATTGAAATACTGTGCAACAACTGCAAGCCAAGCATTTGGCATGCTGTTGTGGTGCTGTCCTATTTACTTGCACAGGTCACATTTGGTGGTGGTAATGCCTGCCCATTGGGACATGCTGCAATATGTACTGACCTCTCCAATGCTGCCAATGCACAGTATAGTTGGGCAGGCAAAACGTGGATTACCTGCCTGATTTTAGCATGCACCCTACCTTCCCTGGATGCATGTGTTAACAAGGACATGTAAATCAACCAGTAACCAGGCAAAAACCGAAAAGTCCATATTAAGGGAGAAGTATGACCAAAGCTCTTTTAGCCATATTTCTCCTATAGATCGCAGGAGTGCAATTCATTCACGTCATTGGAAAGACAGGGCCTTAGCCAGCCGCTCCTGCCCAGTGAGCACTAGAGGGACAAGACAAAGAGCCATTGACTTACAGTACTGGCTCTCTGCTCATTGAAGACAGAAATGAGTGATCAGCGGTCTTTGATTCTCAGTCTTAGAAGCAGCAGGGAACAAATGCTGCATCCACCCTAGGTAAGCATGTTTGTTTTTTCTAGTTAACCCCATACTTCTCTTAAGTCAATCTGGCCTTTAAAGAAAGGTGCAAGTGAATGCAGTGTTGTCATGCACAAATTCTTACCTGTCTGTCCCTGCACTGATTCCACAATGTTGCTTATAGAGACTTTGGGGTCTTCTCCCACCTTAATGTGGTTGCGAATAGAGAAAAGGAGATCTAAGCTCACAAGCAGTTTGTTCCCCACATTGAAAAGTCCTTATGAGTATAAAAAACATATTAAAACAAACTAAAAACCAAATCCATTCTTTTGTATGTATGATTTTATTTATTGTTTAACTACTTGCCTACCTGTATAATTCTGATTTCTCATATATATGTAAAAATAAGCATTTTTCCCTAGAAAATTACTTAAAACCCCCAAGCATTATATATTTGATTAAAGCAAAGTCCATAGAGAATAAAATGGTGGGTGTTTCAGTTTTTCAACTGCAATATTTCAGATAAAATACATTGTAATGAATTTTAGATAACACAAGCACAATAGAACACAAATTTTTTTGTAAAATATAAAAACAAATATTATGCCAAGTAAATGGATACCTAGCATGCCATGCTTTAAAGATGCATACGTCTGTGGAATGGCACCAACCACAATACCTAAAAATCTCCATAGGCAGCGCTTTAAAAGCCTTTACAGGTTACCAGTTTAGATTTACACAGAAGGCCTGTGGCTAGAAATATTGCTCCCGCTCTGACGTTCCTGATGGGACTTATGTATTTGCTCACATCTGCGTCTGAACACGAGGGGATAGGGGCACTTTTTTTTTGGGGGGGGGGGGGGTTATCATTCTATTAAAAACTTTAACACTGTCCCTTTAATTTTTTTTAAACAACTTTATTGCTATCACAAAGGATGAACAACATCTCTTGTGATAGCATGGGCATGATAGGTCCTCTTTATGGAGAAATCAGCCGTCTATTAGACCCCAAATCTCTCCTCTGGCCTCCAATTCAGCCGATCATACACAGATATTTCTAATCAGCTGCTTCATTGGCCGGTAACCAGCCAGTAAACACAGAACCAAAGCTGAAAGTGATATTTTTCTACTCTGGACGGCTGGGTGCAATACTGCACATGCAGAACCATAAACTGAAAATAAAACCTTTCGTTTGCTCATGCACAGAAAAGCAACAGATTCATTTAGTTTCCCATCACTCTCCAGCAGTTGGTTCCTCTGCTGCTTCATTTAGTCACCAGGAGGGTGAGTTAATTCTCCTGTCATGTGTCAGTGCTTCCTGATTGGCCCAAAACAATCATATGGACCAGGAAGATGTCCATAGACCTGTGTGAGCACCACCAACTAGGCTTGCTATTCACACAGGACTTTTTTTCCCCAGGCTAAATGGAACACTATAGGGGCAAGGACAAGTGAGTATATGCAACTTGGGAGAAGGGGGTAGGTCAGTGAAAATTTAAGTTTGCCCTGCACTGGCAAGGGAAAGAATTTAAACAAAGCCAGGTTGCTGTGATTGTATGCAATTATGAAGAGTGAAACCTCATATGAAAATGTGTTCATTACTGTTTATTTATTAAATTTATTCTTAAATATATCTAAACCCAAGAAGAAATGTTGTCTATATCTTGCAGCTTATCATTCCTTAAAGCATAGCTCCAGCCAAAATGTAAAAAAGTAAAAGTCTGCAGCTACAAAACTGTAGTTGCTGACTTTTCAAAAACAGACAGACACTCACCTGTCCCTCAATCCGGCGATGTCCTCACCAGCCCGTTTCACCAGCTGTCCGCTCTCACCTTAAGTGTGGGCACCCGGCTGTGACAGCTTGCGGCTTCACAGTCAGGTGCCCACTGTGCATGCGTGAGTAGCACTGTGCCTTGTGAATGGCCCCACAGTCTTCTAGGACCTGTCACGTGTCCCAGAGGACTACAGGAAGGGAGGAAGGAAAACGTCTGCTACCAATCACCTAGGCGTTCGCAGTAGAAGTAGGAGCAGCTCCCCTCCACCCCCGCTCCCCAAAGGTGTCAATCCTTAACAGGGAGCGGGGGATGAGGCCTTAAAGCAGAATTTCCTACTTTGTGAAGTTTACTGGCTGCATTACTTTTCTCTTTACGGTTGATCTTGCAAGAAATCGAAAGACAGAAAGAATTCTGATCATGAAAGCATAATATCTTTACACTCAATAAGTTAAATTCTGATCATGGAAGCATAATATCTATACAGTCAATAATTTAAATATTAACTTACTGTGGGGTGCAATGCATCCCCTTCCTAACCATTATACTTATCAATACTATGCAATGATGTGCACTTCTTTATCTTTGAATTTACCCTGTGCATCTGTGTAATGTTTCTGAAACATTTCAACAAAACTGTATTGAAACCGAAACTTAATTTACCTGTATAGATGTCGTTAAAGCTGTGTATTGCCAGACATTGAGAGTTTAGACACACCTTGACCTGGGCAGTCACCAGCTGCAAGCGATTAGCTGTTAAAAGCCAGCAATCCTGAGCACAGGCCATTGAACTGCAATGCATGAGAAAGGTAGGCACACATTACCTGATATGTTAGAAGTCGGAAAAACAGAAGAGTTAAAGGAACCCTGTACCAAATACAAAATGTTTATGTGATTAGGTTCTCATACAGAGGGCAGTGGAGTATACACAAGGGAGATGTGGAGGGATATTCTGTGAAAGAATAAAATACCCGTGTCAGTAGGGCATTGATCCATAGATATTGGAGGTCAACCACTGTTGATGGAAGAACTGCTCGGCTAGAGGATCACTATAGAGTTTGTATCAATATGGAGCGCATGGGTAGAATTCTCAAACTCTTCTCATCTTGCCCCCCTTTGCTTTGAATTAACTCACCAATGCTGGGGGGGCTCATTAATCACTGCTGGTCTGATGGGATCCCTTGATTGCCCCCTCCCCCCACACCTTTCCCCCCCTCGTTCTTTTTTTGAGACGAGGGGTGATGTCTACTTATCAGCTGAGAGAATTGACAGAATTTAATTCCTACCCATTTGGCATATACAGCCTCCTCCTCAATGTACAGTATTCTCTCCTTTTATTACTTATAAGGCTTATGTTTTCAACATCCTGTTGTACACTCTGCTGGAGGACTCACTTTCAACCCATGTGGTATTGGTGCATGTTGTGTTCAAAATCAATGAAATCTATTTCTAAAAAAATACCTGTCTTAAAATGCTCTAGTAAAATCTACTATTCTTTAGCCAATTCATTACTGCGATACGTTCAAGAAAGGAAGAGTTGTAAACATAAATTGCTACAACTTGTAGGTTTAATAGGCAAGTCTTAGGAAGAGGGTTGCCCTCGAAATGTGTCAAACGTAATTTGGCCCACAATGGCTCTCATCTAGATGTCCGGGTCTATTGGCCCCTATCGGTCATTGCACCAAGTAGCTGTCATTAGTTATGCGAATTGTCATCACGTTTGTATGTTTTTATCTATACTACAATAAATCTTTTTGGAATAATGCGCTAGGCTGGTGTGCTCTTGCTTTGCCTTTTTGATGTTATATAAATGTAGTTTTGAAACTCTAAAAAGCTTTAGATTGGTGCAGATTATCCTGATCAGCTGGGATGAGTTCAGGTGTGTTCGGATAACAGTCCAAACCCGTCTGAGCTATCCCACCAGGAAGCTGTCCCTGCGGACTGCCAATCATAAGCAGCTGAGGCATTTGCTGCTCCGCAGCCATAAGTATGCACACCCCTTGGGAATACCTTGGCGGTTTATGATTGACGGTCTGCAATGACAATAGCTCAGGTAGGTTCGAAAAAATAGTATTCAAACATACTTGAGCTCATCCCTATTGAGAAGTGTAAGAGCAATAAATTCAGTTGGCAGAAGGATAAAAATAAACTCTTACTTTTTGTCTCCTTTATACAGCTGGGTGCCGCAGAGTAAACACTGGTCGGCTGGCGACTCATAAATACTAGCCCAGGAGGTTTGTTCTATGGTCACAGTACCATCACTGACATCAGACAGAACCAGAGGAGAACTATTAAGCTCTTGGATGAGGGTAAAGGTGTCTGAAAGCTCACACTCGTTCTCAGGTATCTGTACAGTTTTACGAATTAGTTGGAGAGTGGAGTGTCGCTGAATCTCCTTCTGTGACTGTGTAAGAGGCTCTCGTACACTCATACTAGAGGTAATAGTGATGGCTGCTTCCTAAAAAGGATACAAAATATCAATCAAGAATTAAATAACATGCACAAGAGTGAATAACTTTAAAAGGGAATGCGAATGCACTCCTCTCATACACCTTCTGCCCTCTAACTCTCCTGCACATTTTACCCACTGTCACACCCTCCACTTTGCTCAGTGTAATAAGCCCACCATTTAACCCTACACACTCTTATACTTGTAATGCCCACCATTATTACTCAGTGCATTCACATCCTACACATATTTGCCCCATGCCATACCTTCTGTGCTCTGTTTCTGCACACACTGCCCATCGGTATACCCTCTGCCCTGTTTCTCCTGCACCTACTGCCCATCACTATACCCTCTGCCCTGTGCCCTGTTTCTCCCCTGCACCTACTGCCCATCACTATACCCTCTGCCCTGTTTGTTCTCCTGCACCTAGTGCCCATCACTATACCCCTCTGCCCTGTTTCTCCTGCACCTAGTGCCCATCACTATACCCTCTGCCCTGTTTCTCCTGCACATACTGCCCATCGTTATACCCTCTGCCCTGTTTCTCCTGCACCTACTGCCCATCACTATACCCTCTGCCCTGTTTCTCCTGCACCTACTGCCCATCGTTATACTCTCTGCCCTTTTTCTCCTGCACATCATTATACCCTCTGTCTGTTTCTCCTGCACCTACTGCCAATCATTATACCCTCTGCCCTGTTTCTCCTGCACCTACTGCCCATCGTTATACCCTCTGCCCTTTCTCTCCTGCACACACTGCTCATTGTTATATTCTTTGCTCTCCTCTCCTGCTTATTCTGCCCCATCTGCACGCTTCAATTTTAGAGATTTTTGCAAACATTTTTAAACAATCTCTATTGGAAAGTAGTAAATTGTAGAAATAGTTTTGTGCGGTTTTATTTTATATTTTAGTGGCTATAATAAACAGTAAAATGCACTTAGGTCCTTTACTACACATTAGATTACCAAATTATCCTAGCAAGGCTCAGATTGGTAAGCAAAACTATATAACTACTATATTCTATATCTGGGCTCAGCTGAATGAAATGAAGCAGTATTAAACCCAAAAGCAAATATTTATTATAGTGCAGATTACCAATTCTTACATGTGATGGCTGTATTAGTCTTCTTTTTAGGCTTTCTTTCTTCTAATTCTATCTGGCGATCCAGCCAGTAAGCCTGCTACTTTTCAACATAAAAGATCTCTTACAGTTACAGGGATGAGAGAGACCATTTCACACAGGAGTGCTTAAAATGATCCATTTTTATTTATTTACGTAAATCCTTTATCCTAAAAGGAAAAACACAGTTGCTGTAACTGATTATAAAGTATTATCTAGAGTTTAGCCTTAATTTGCTACTGTATTTAAATCTGGTAACACTCCACTCCCCCCAGACTGACAATTCTGCTGTCCACATCTGCCCCCTGTGCTCCTTCATCCAGAGTGGGAGCACTCTAATACAGGAGGTGTGTTACTGGCCAGATCACCAGGGGAAAGCAGAGGGAAAAAGCCTAGAAAAAATAAAACAAATGCAACCACTGCATCTAATGATTGGTAAGCTGCAATATATGTAATATGTGAAAAAACCTCCTGCTCTCCTAAGTCCCTATACACTAATCAAGAAGGTACAGCTGCCAACATCCAATCATATACCAAATGATAAACGTGAAAAAACAACAAAAAAATGATGTAGCGTTAATACCATATGAACCCCAACAAATATACTACTAATAACAAAGTGACAATGGTGATTAAACGAAATGAATTGCATCAACATATGTATAAATATATAAATAAATCAATATGCACATAGGTAATAAATACACAAAAACATATAAGTGATGATGCAAAAAAAGTGTCTATATCACTCACACAATACACGTGCAACAAAGTGCCACATAACAGGTCCGAAAAGGGACCAACAAATATCAATAGTGCCCCAAATGATCCTAAACGGATCTAACAGTGATGAAAAAAAACACTGAACAAAAGTCCAAACTGGGACTAAACACAAAAGTGCTCCAACCCCCCAAAGGAAACACACAAAAAACCCAAATAACACATAAGAGACAACCACCGTGTCATTAATAACACACCGTGCATCCAACCATGCATAAATAATACAATGAATATATGTGCTCAAATATATAAACGTATAACAGAAATACAAAAAAATGTTTTAAAACACAAATAAGTCCATGAGTTGAATAAACACCTAAATATAGCTGACCAGATCGTTATAGAACACCTGGGAACAGCTGCTAATTAAGCGGTGTGGTTCCCTGTTCCCAGGTGTTCTATAACGATCTGTTCAGCTCACAATGGGATTGAGATCACAGACAGCAGTTGAGAGAAAAGGAGTCTTCTAACCTGGAATAAGTGGCAACTTACTGCTTAACTGCCTGAAGAGGAGATCTACAATCCTATGAACCTACACTTGAAGGGAGAGCAGTGTGGAGAGTTTGGAGGAGTCCCATGCATGAAGGATCTGGTATAGTGATCCTAAAAGCGTTTTTGCCCCATGTGGGTCGAAACAGGGAGGCGAGCGGCATTTCAGCCATTTTAGGATATCTTCGTACACCTGTCATCACCTTTGGGTTAACCTTCACGAGGAGTGCATTGCTTGACATATTTAGGTGTTTATTCACCTCATGGGACTTATTTGTGTTTTTAAAAAATTTTTTTGTATTTATGTTATAAGTTTATATATTTGAGCACATATATTCATTGTATTATTTATGCAAGGTTGGATGCACTGTGTTTAACCATTAGCCGCCCGGCCAATAGCCGTTTGGCGGCTGGAAAAATGCTTTAGATTTCCAGGTGGACGCCATATGGTGTACTCCCGGGCATGCGCAGTTTGCGCGCTTGCAGAGCCATGCAGCGGTGCGATCTGTCACCGGCCGTGTACCTCGGACACGGCCATGGCAGATCTGAGTACCGGCCCCCGTTGCCGGTACCATGTGACCTGCTGTGACCAATCACAGCAGGTCACATGACAGTTGTATACAATGGATGGTTTCATTCATGCCATCCATTGTATACTAGTGTCTAGCTGTGAATGGTCACAGCGATCACATGCACATGTCATGTGATTAGCTGTGGCCAAATCACAGCTAAGCACAAAAAAAAAAAAAAAAAAAAAACCCCCTGAATGAATCGATGTCATTTAGGTAAATGCTTGCTTATAGCAAAGTAATTCTTTGCTATAAGCAAATTGTGTAAAAAAAAAAAAAAAAATACTGATCACTTCCCCAAAGTAGTACAATGTTACTATGGTAACATTGTACTACTTTGGTCATAGTGAAATATGAAAAAAAAAAATCTTTAAAAAAAAAAAAAAAGTAATAAAAAATAAAAAAAAATTAAGAACAAATATATATTTTTTTTTCATACTGTCACCAGTCAGTGTCCCTGATCACCGCCATGCCAGTTATATGATGATGCTGTACTGCACTGGTGACAGTATGTAAAAAACAAATAGTGAAAATAATTTTTTTAATTTTTTCATTTTCTGAAAAATTATGACAAAAAAAATACAACTTCAAAAAACTCGCCATGCCTCTTATTAAGTACGTCGGACTGTGTACTTTGCAAAAAAGGGGTCATTTGGGGGATATCTGTACTGTTCTGACATTCTTGGACCTCAAGAAATTAGATTGGCTGTCAGTACTTCAGGATTGATCAATATTCAGATCTATACCATAGTTGGTAAACTCTATAACTTTCCTACAAACTAAAAAATACATCCTAATTTGGGTTATTTTCATCAAAGACATGTAGCAGAATACATCTCGGCCTAAATTTATGAAGAACAATTATTTATTTGCAAACTTATATAACAGAAACAAAGAAAAACGTGGGTTTTTTTTTTGAAATTTTCGGTCTTTTTTTGTTAATTTAGCAAAAAATAAAAACCCCAGTGGTGACTAAATACCACCAAAAGAAAGCTCTAATTGTGTGAAGAAAATGATAAAATTTTAGTTTGGGTACAATGTTGTATGACCGCGCAATTGTCATTCAAAGTGTGAGAGCGCTGAAACCTGAAAAATGGCCTGGGCAGGAAGGGGGTAAAAGTGGCCGGTATGGAAGTGGTTAATAGTGACACAGTGGTTTCATTTATGTGTTATTTGGGTTTTGTGCCTAGAGCACTGTTGTTTCCTTTGGGGGGTTGGAGCACTTTTGTGTTTAGTCCCAGTTTGGACTTTTGTTCAGTATTTTTTTTCATCACTATTATATCCGTTTAGGATTATTTGGGGTACTATTGATATTTGTTGGTCTCTTTTTCGCTTTTCGGACCTTTTATGTGGCACTTTGTTGCACGTGTATTGTGTGAGTGATATAGACACTTTTTTGCATCATCACTTATATGTTTTTGTGTATTTATTATCTATGTGAATATTGATTTATTTATATATTTTATACATATGTTGATGCAATTCATTTCATTTAATCACCATTGTCACTTTGTTATTAGTAGTATATTTGTTGGGGTTCATATGGTATTAGCGCTACATCATTTTTTGCTGCAATATATACGTAGCTCCCTGATTTTGAGGGACTGTCCCTGATTTGGAACAAAGTCCCTCTTTCCTCTCCTCGTTTGTCCCTCCTTTTGATCTGATCAGTATAGTTGTATATTAAATGCATATTTATCTTTCAAAAAGTGTTTACCAATGCTAAACCTTTCATCCAATGTCTAAATTGCTGCATTTTCTAAATTTTAAAAGCCAGTATAAAAGGAATAGTAGTAGTAAAAAAAAAAATATCACTTGTGGGTTTAACTAAATTTTTTTGTACAATTCTTTGTCAAAAAGTAATTGCCCCCCACCTCCCCTTTGCTAAATCATGAATAAACTGTAATTAACCACATTTGTTTTGGAAAGCGGAGTTAAATTTCACTTGCCACACCCAGGCCTGATTACTGCTAGACCTGTTGAAAAAAGAAATCACTTAAATAGAAGCTGACTGACAAAGTGAAGCACACTAAAAGATCTCAAAAAGCAACACATGTAGCGATCTAAAGAAATTCAAGAACAGATGGAAAACAAAGTACTGGAATTGCCATGTATCAGTCTGGAAAGAGTTACAAAGCCATTTCTAAGGCTTTGGGACTCCAGCAAACCATGGAGAGAGAGAGTCATTATTCACAAATGGAGAAAACTTGAAACAGTGATGAACCTTCCCAAGAGTGGCCGGTCTACTAAAATTACTCCCAAGAGCACAACAACTACTTATTCAGGAGGTCATAAAAGAATCCAGAACAACATCCAAAAGAACTGCAGGACTCACTTGCCTCACTTAGGGTCAGTGTTCATGATTCAACAATAAGAAAGAGACTGGTAAAAAATGGAATCCATGGGAGAGTTCCAAGGTGAAATCCACTGCTGACTAAAAAGAACACATAGGCGTGTCTTACTTTTGCCAAAAAACATCTTGATTATCCCTAAGATTTTGGGCAAATATTCTGTGGACTGATAAGACAAAAATTGAACTTTCTAGAAGGTGTGTGTCCCGTCACAGCTGGTGTAAAACTAACACAGCATTTCATAAAAGATCATCATACCAATAGTCAAACATGGTGGTGGTAGTGCGATGGTCTGGGGTTGCTTCGCAGCTTCAGGACCTGGACAACTCACCATAATTGATGGAACAATGAATTCTGCACTCTACCAGAAAATTCTAAAGCAGAATGTCTGGCCATCTGTTCATGACATCAAGCTCAAGCACACTTGAGTTATGCAGTAGGACAATGATCTGAAACACACCAGCAAAATTCACCTCTGAAAGGTCAGAAAAAACAAACTTAAGGTTGTGGAGTGGCCTAATCAAAGTCCAGACTTAAATCCAATTGCGATACTGTGGCATGACCTTAAACTGGCCATTCATGCTTGAAAATGCTCCAGTGTAGCTGAATTAAAACAATTCTGCAAAGAAAACTGGGACAAAATTCATCCAAAGAGATGTGAAAGACTCAATGGCAGTTATCGCAAACGTTTGATTGCAGTTGTTGCCGGCAAGGGTGGCACAACCAGTTATTAGGTTTAAAGGGCAATTACTTTTTTGCATAGGACCAGGCAGGTTGTGAGCAGCTTTTTTCCCTTCATAAATGAAATCATTATTTAAAAACTGCATTTTGTATTTGCTTGGGTTATCTTTGTGCAATTTTAAAAATTGTTTGATCGTCCGAATCATTTAAGTGTGACAACTATTAAAAAAAAATAAAAAATCAAGAGGGGGGCAAAAACTTTTACACAGCACTGTATTACACTTTTAGTTTTGGGTTTAATATTACTTTAAATTAATGAACACAAGGACTACACTGCTACCCCCCATGATAGATATGTATATTATATATATATATATATATATATATATACACACATATATATATATATATATATATATATATATATATACATATACACACACACACACACACATATATATGGTATGTATATATACACATACATATCCATACATACACACACACACAATACTTTATGGTCCTTACCAAAGGTTTTGGTCCTTTTTCTACTTTGTCTTTGAGATTGATGCCACAGTTTGGACAGACTTTTGGCTTATGTCTGTTGGTGTACATGAAGTTGCAGAAGGGATTTTTACACTTCCCTCTTCCTCTCTGTGTTGCCAGACCTAGATCCTGTTGGAATGTTCATTAAACAAGTCATGCTAAGTGTTTGGATCTTAGGATAAAACCATAAATACACAGTGAGCACCCAAGTCACACCCAAATTACACATTGCCCTTCTAGAGTGGTTTCTTCTATGTGACGTGTGAGGTGTAAAATGATTTTTAATTTGCATCTTTGATGAGAACACACAACTTTCAGTTCAGTTTGGGAAACTGCACACCACCATACTCCTTCAGGAAAATTGTAGCATGTAAATGTGCCATACGATCCTTCCCACAGGCTGTAGTGGCATCTATAGACAGACAAGTGAATGAATGGCTTAGGGCTGTCATGCACAATCAAATCCAGGATATTAAACAGGCCTGAAAAAAAGGTCAAGGACTATGCTGTTTATGGCTACCATATGGGGTAAAAAAAAAAAACAACACTTCAGACTTTAATACAACAAGGTATGTGCCTACAGCAGAACCTGTCAGCAATCTACTGCAAATGTTAATTTACAACCTCAATGTTTTCCAGAGTACACGTGTACTTATTTTTCTTCTGCAGCGCATTCATTCTTATGGGAAAGCCACAATCACAGTGTCTCAAGAAGTCGCTTGGAGTCCAGCTGTCCACTGGAATGAATGGTGCTGCTTCATGCATGTGTGGTACGAAGCTGCCACTTTTAAGGTAAAGGCTGTGCTGAGCCGGACAGCCTTTACCTTAAAAGTGGGAGCTTTGTACCACACATGCATGAAGCAGCACCATTCAGGGCCACAGAGTAAAAATTTTTGGATCGGAAATGGAAGTAAGCAAGGCAACTAAATAAAATAAAGTACAGCTGTCCTTTAAGTAAAATATGCAACCTAGGTGGGCCATTTAATGTTTACTACCACCAGTGCTCTACAGTTCACTTACCAGAGCCACTGGACAACTGTACTTGTAGGATGGGAAGGTATCAGTCACAACTTTAAGGTCCGGCTGTGACAAGGGTGCTGGGAGGTCAGCCCTTACCTGAATTGTAGTAAAAAGACAGAATATATATCACCTAATGTAGCAGTTGTAATCATATGATACATGTGGTCTTTTTAAAAATGCTGTACATTACGAGGATTAGTAATAAATGGGGTACTTACTGTAATTATCCAAAGAAATTATGCTGAATATTCTAAAAAAACTATTTAATAAATGTAACACCACTGCATTCTAGATACAAAAATTATCACTGACAATAGAACACATGGGACATATTAGTTGAATTTATTTTTTAATAATCATTACGCTTTCAAGAAATGTTAAAGTCAATAATTGCTTAGGAGTTTTCATGAAATAAAGGGACAGGGGAGCAGTAAAAGGTACAATTCCCTTATCTATCAAGCAAACTCAGTTTGAAATTCACATGAATTTACATTTGGAATTGAAAAAAAATGTCAGGAACTCAGAATAGCCCAGACGTTAGGGCTCCTTTACACTATAAGTGGCGACCTGTCTCTCTCTGCAGAGTACAACATGAATCACCACTAGGGTAAATAATCAATGTGCTCCATTTTCGCTAAAAATGCTGCGGTAACGTGCAATGTGGAAAAATGCAGGCAAGAGCATTAAACAGCACAACTAATATTCGGAGATTTGAATGGAGTGTAGCTCTGTACACTCTCAGTACAGCAAAATGGACACCAACCTGCACACTAAAATTACCCTTTTAGTATGCGGCAAATGTGAATGTGCCCCAATTGTGATGGACATAAAAGAATATCTTCCTGACATAATGGAACACAGGCTTATCATGCACCCTCTATGAATATATACAGTAAATTGTATTTGGCAGAAAATATAAAATGCATATATAACATTTGCCTTTTTTTTTTTTTTTTTTTTTTACCGTGATCTCCTGAGTCATTGGCTGTGCAAAACTGCTTGACCGAGTTGTTTCAATGTACTGGCTTTTAGGCTCACTGATGTGATTGGGTTGTATGTCTCTAAATGAAAAATAATAACCAAGAGTTTTGGCTTTACATACATTTTTAATGCATTCTTTATTTTTTATTAAAGGATAGAACAATGTCGGGGGACAGTACAATGCATATGTTTCAGTAGTTCTAGTGATACATGTTATGTTGTGTGAGTGTTATGTCTCCTAGATTGTAAGCTCCAAGGAGCAGGGCCCTCCTATCCCTCTTGTATTGAACTGTATTGTTGCTGTATTGTCTCCCGCTACATTGTAAAGCTCTGAACAAACTGTTGGTGCTATATAAATCCTGTATAATAATAATAATGTTGTACAATATGAGCTGCAGTGAGGAAGAGACATTACAGTAACATAATAAACAATAGTATCAGAGGCAGAGCTAAGCTATCATGTCTATGGAGCTACAGAATGGGCCACTGAGACAGACGGGACAGCTTACTGATCCCGGTGTTGATTTTTTTTTTTTTTTAAGAAAAACAAAGGAAGTGGGGCAGAAATAAGCATAGGGAACTGAACAAACTATGGATGGAATGGAGGGGTAAGAAACAAGGGGGGTGTGGGTTTAAAAGTACAAATTCAAATTCCAGAGTGTGTCTGTCCTTGTGAACAACATCTATGAGCTATGGATACCAGCAGGATGACATCACTGCTCTATGAGATTCAGCAGTGGTGTTGTCAGCCTTCCACAGACACACCTGTCAGACTACATAGGAAAAGTGTAAGAAAAAGGTATTTACACTATGATTTCTTAAGAGAATGTATGCATTGAATATCAGAACAATGGGGAGGCAGTATTTAAAAGGCGTGTTATTGTTTAACTTTTCCTTCCTTTTTAAGTCTCTTTTCAGGTTTTGTTTTTACTGCATGTTTCCTGTCAGGGACTTTCATTCACTTGCTGCCCCAGAAATAAAACACAAAGTAGCAGAAGGTCTCTCCAAAGCAAGGAGGATAGCTCTTAGCAAAAAGCAGTTGCCACAGGTGTTCCCTTTGGAAGATTTCCTTCACCTTTTGTATCTATGACTCAAACATTTTGGATTTCACATCATGCTTTGTACTAGGGTGAATCTGATTTAAATCGCTAGTGAAAAGGCTCAATTTAAATCATAATTTTTTAAAAGGGCAACTGTCATCTCTGTCCCGCAGAGGCTCCTCCTCTGACCCCTGTTGACTCACCTTAATGGGACAGCTGGTGATGCGGCAGTGACACAACAAGGTGAGGGACGTGGTGGCAGCAGTTGAGTGGATAGCCCGCTAACAGACACTGCCATGATGGATCTAAAATGACAGGTGCTCTTTAAAATGTAAGGAATCTGACTCATCCTTGGTGGCAGTTAGAATCTTTAATATTTGCAAACCAAATGAAGGTTTCCTTTTTAGAATAATAATCTATCAGGTTAGAAAAACAGCGATATCAGAACCGATTTTAGGTTAATAGGTTAATCCACATAGCTGGAGAACTACTCAAATTCTTTTATTTCAGGTTTTTTTCTCCTGGTTACTGTGAAATTATGAATGCATCAATGCAGTGCATGTTATGTCAGCTTGCAGAGCTTGGATTCATTGAATGAGTTTACCAAAATGTAAATATTGCAGAATATACAGCCTCATGCTACATAAACAAGTTCCATTTCATGCTGAATAAACTAAATGATTAATGTGTCTTAAATGGAAAATTTCTTTAGATAGATTTTTACTCCAAAAGCATTTTTATTAAAATAAATCTGATAAAAATCAAAAAAATCTGATTTAAATTTAAAAAATCATCGCTTTTTATCCACCCTGCTTTGTACTATGGTCTGCATATTAAATCCCTCTTAGCACCTGCCTTAATACCTTACCCAAGCACCTCGTGCACCGACAATGGGGGCCTATAACATAAGGGATGACCTATGAACTGACAGGAGACACACACAAAGACACAGAGCCAAGACACCGAACAGTGCTATGGGAAGGTCAAAAACACTGAGGATTACCAGGTTTTAAGAAGGCCAGGGTGCTGCTAGTGCACTCCACAGTGATGCTTCTATTTGCATTAGTAGGAGCTGGGAGTATGGCTCTTGTTGGCCTAGCAATAGCGAGGGGTTTCGAGAAACACTTGGCTTCTGATGTTTTGTTTTGACAATGAAGCAGAGGATGAACTTGTCCTAAAAGTAGAAAATAAAAAGTACATTATTACTACAATAAACTAAAAAGTAAGCCATTTCATAAAAATAGCTTGTAAACCTGAAAAAGATCGGAACCCTAAAGCCCAACTCTGGGCAATTGCAAAATCATTAAAACTGACCTTTAGGCTGGAACAAAAATACTCCAGAAAGTGCAACCCCCCTTTCCAAGCACTGCAAGGGTTAAATACTCAATATGTCTAGGGGTGCCAGATTACTAAGACATGCTTACCTTATGCCACATTCCAGCTGGCTCCCTGTGTGTGAATGGCTTACTGCAGCCTTCATGCACACTGGGCATTTTTAATACTGTTAGCAGCGTCTGGCATTTTTTTTCTGTTTCTGCCACTAAACGCCCCTGCATGTTAATTTAAGTGTCCATACACACAAAGGCGTTTAAAGGAGTTTAGAGGCAGAGAAAAGAACCCACTACCAGCACATCCAGAAAAACGCTTGACACGCCTAAATGCATCTAAACATGTGCTAGCGCTTGATAGTTCATTCATTTCAATGGCCAGAATAAATTATTATTCTGACCAATGAAATGAGTTACCACGCATGCGCTGGGTAGAGACATACCCAAAAAGATTTACAGCTGTAATTGCAGCAAAAGGTGGTTCTACAAAAAGCATTGATTCAGGGCGACTAAATACCAATGCACGTCCTACTTTTCAGATATTTATTTGTAAAACATTTTGAAAAACCATTTATGATTTTCCTTCTACTTCACAATTATGTGCCACTTTCTGTTCGTCTGTCACATAAAATCCAAATAAAATACATTTACATTTTTGGTTGTTACATGACAAAATGTGGAAAATTTCAAAGGGGTATGAATACTTTTTCAAGGCACTATAGGAGACCCATCAAGATACCCGACATATGCATAGATAAAATACATATCCTTTATTGAAAACCTAGAACATACAAAAACCTGCTATTTAACTTGTATAACCATATTTGTGACCAACTATTAAAAATCCCAATCCAGCAGCTGCAGGAAAATTATAAACTTCATCCCCAAGAAGAAAAAATGAGATATATGAATAAGCAAATAATTATACCCCAATGAGGGGCATCGTCCACACATACTGTGTGTTTATGTAAGATGAAGGGGCCTCTCCTCCATGGCAACACAATAACTGCCATAAAGTTGCACTAGATCATATTTACTATGTGTGGTCTAGCTTTACAACATATGCCATCTTATGAATCCCTGATGGACTCTAAGGGGTTATTTGGTCATATGGAGAGGTCTAATTGTGGACTTTATATAAGGTGAAGGGGACCTCTCCTCCATAATAAACAGAGTACAGGTGGACAATGCCCTCATTGGGGTATAATTATCTGCCTATTCATATATGTCATATTTTTTCTTCTTGAAGATGAAGTTTATATATATATTTATATGGCTCAAGAAGAAGCACATTAAGGTCATGGAGTGGCCTAGCCAGTCTCCAGACCTTAATCCTATAGAAAATATATGAAGGGAGCTGAAACTTCAAGTTGCCAAGTGACTGTCAAGTTTAAGGATTTAGAGATCTGTAAAGAGTGGACCAAAATCTCTCCTGAGATATGTGCAAACCTGGTAACCAACAACATCCTACCACTGTGCTTGCCAACAACGGTTTCTCCTCCAAGTACTAAAAGTCATGTTTTGCTTGTGGATCAAATATTTATTTTACTCACTGAACTGCAACTCAATTTATAACATTTGTATCATGTGTTTTTTTTTCTGGATTTTTGGTTGATATTCTGTCTCTATCATTTAAAATACACTTATTATAAAAGTTATACACACTTCATTTCTTTGTAAGTAAGCAAACTTACAAAATCTGCAAGGGATCAAATAAATATTTTCCCACTGTATACACAGTTATCTCAGGGATATAGTAGATACTTCATGTATTGAGTTTGAGCCTTAATCTGGTTTTTATCCTCTTTCTTTCTACAGTCCATATTCTAATGTATAATGTTGGAGCATACATAGCAATGGATAAATTAAGGGTAGGTATACTTGGAGGCAGAGCATTCCTGCTTAGCTGATAAGTGTGCTTGGAAATACATTTTGTTTTGTTTTTTTTTTTGGTAATAGAGTTTCATGCCAATTGCTGACTGCAAGTCACTGACAGAAAGATTCAATCAAGCACAGTCACTGGGCAGCATTGCCAAGCTAGAAAAAAAAAAAAAAAAAAAAACACAACACAATAGCAAATATGGCTTCCACCATCTACATTTTGAACACACATTATACAAAGAACCCGATATATATATACACAATTGTGTTCAAAATAATAGCAGTCAGACATCAATAACCTGATCAATCACTGTTTTTGGTAGAAATGATATTTCTACATGGCAAATAATTTACTAGCAGGTGTAGTAGAGTAATAGAAATCCAACAGACCCAACAGTCATGACATGCATGCTGCTGATTCTGTGTAATTGAATCACTAATTGAAAGGGGCATGTTCAAAATAATAGCAGTGTGGAGTTCTATTAGTGACGTCATTCATTCTTTGAAAAACAGGTGGCAATTATTGCCCTTATTTAAGGAAGGAAGGCAAATGTTGTACATGCTGGTTACAGTGCATTTCTCTCTGAAATTCTGAGGAAAATGGGTAGTTCCAGACATTGTTCAGAAGAACAGCGTACCTTGATTAAAAAGTTGACTGGAGAGGGAAAAACATATAAAGAGTGCAAAAAATGATAGGCTGCTCAGCTAAAATGATCGTAAATGCTTTAAAATGGCAACCAAAACCTGAAAGATGTGAAACCTGAAAGAAAGCGAAAAACTACCATTCGAATGGATAGAAATATAGCCAAAATGGCAAGGACTCAGCCAACAATCAGCTCCAGGAAGATCAAAGAAGGTGTAAAGTTACCTGTGAGTACTGTTACAATTAGAAGACACCTATGTGAAGCCAAGCTATCTGCAAGAAGCCCCCGCAAAGTCCCACTGTTGAAAAAAAAGACGTTTGCTGAAGAGGTTACAATTTGCCAAAGAGCACATTGACTGGCCTAAAGAGAAATGGCGCAACATTTTGTGGACTGATGAAAGTAAGATTGTTCTTTTTGGGTCTAGTGGCCGGAGACAGTTTGTCAGACGACCCCCAAACACTGAATTCAAGCCACAGTACACTGTGAAGACAGTGAAGCATGGTTGCGCAAGCATCGTGATATGGAGATGTTTCTCATACTACGGTGTTGGGTCGATTTATCACATACCAGGGATCATGGATCAGTTTGAATACATCAGAATACTTGAAGAGGTCATGCTGCCTTATGCTGAAGAGGAAATGCCCTTGAAATGGGTGTTCCAACAAGACAACGACCCCAAACACACCAGTAAACGTGCAACATCTTGGTTCCAGACCAACAAGATTGACGTTATGGAGTGGCCAGCCCAATCTCCCGATCTTAATCCAATAGAAAACTTGTGGGGTGACATCAACAATGCAGTTTCTGAGGCAAAACCAAGAAATAGAGAAGAACTGTGGAATGTAGTCCAATCATCCTGGGCTGGAATACCTGTGCACAGGTGCCAGAAGTTGGTTGACTCCATGCAACACAGATGTACAGCAGTTCTCAGAAACAGTGCTTATATAACTAAATATTAATTAAGTGATTCAAAGGAAAGCAAATTCTTCAAACATTTTTCAGTTTATATAGTGAATGTTTGCGTTTGTAAAGAAGAATACAAACACTGCTATTTTTTTTGAACAGTTTAATATTCACTTTTCTTCAATTTTTTTTAGAGGAACAACACAAATTTATATATATTTTTCTTCATGTTTTGATTTGGAATAGACTCACTTGGAAACTGAGGCTTGTGGCACAGCTTTGGTGCTCCCAGCTGGTGGTGGTTTGTCAGTTTTGGTGGCGTTGTTCTCCGGCTGGTTTTGTGTGTAGTGTTCCCAATGCATTTGTGTGTATGGAAATAGAAAGCTATTAGAAGGATTTTGAGCTTTATTCACTTTTTTTTCAACACACTGCTATTATTTTGAACACAACTGTATATAAACAATTATGATGGTCTTTCTCTCATTATCCTTTGTTTCAATTCTAGTAATGAAATAATATAAAGTTATACTAAAATGAAACTGCTTAATTACCTGGTTTTAATTGACTAAAATTTATTGTGACAATGTACAGGCATGCAAAGATAAACACACATCAATCAAAGAACAAACCTTGATGCATTTCACATGAAACTGCTTAAATTTCAAGAATCCTTACCCTGTACATCTTCACAATAAATCTTACAATCAAGCAAGATGAAGGAACGAAGTGGTTTAATTTTACTGGAATTTTGCTGAACATACAAGGACCAGGCAAGGTCTCAAAGTCATGATCCTTGAAGAATGAGGTATGTGAAGATGACTACATGCAACAACAAAGATTCTGTGACTGTATTACAGTAATATACTCACTTGGAAACTGAGGCTTGTGGCACAGCTTTGGTGATCCCAACTGGTGGTGGTTTGTCAGTTTTGGTGGCGTTGTTCTCGGCTGGTTTTGTGGCCTTCTCCTGCCGTTTCTCGGTCAGTGCTGATTCATTTCCCTCACGTTTTCCAGGCTCAAAGTGGGCATCAGAAATGATCACTTCCTCCCAGTCCTCGTTCTGGTCAGGCAAGGAAGATTGCAGGAGCTGGCTAACCGCTTCCGAATTTTCCTTCTCAGATGCCTTGGTAACAGTAGAGGACTGATCCTGACTGTCTGCAACGTCTGTTGTCCGAACAGTGGTGTTTGGTTTATCTTTAGATTGTTTTCCCTGTGCAGATTTGCATTGAAGTGTTAAAAAAGACAATATTATTAATTTTACTTGAGGTTAATGGAGGGGAAAAAAATTTCTGACTGTTACAAAGGGAGTACTCATACTTACCTATCCGCGGGGCAGCAGCTTCAAATCGATGCTCTTTTGCAGATCTATGGCTGCAACTGGCTGGTTCCTTTCTCTAGGTCCCTACATCAATACAGAACATAGTATTGATCTATCAGGCAGTGGGTAACACACTGGGGCTGGTTTACTAAAGAGATGTAGTGTGTGCACTTTGCAAGTGCAGTTGCTCTAGATCAGTAGATCGCTGATGCCATGCAGGTCTTCTGCAGACCTGTCAGAATATCTGCTTGCCATACAGGATGTACGAGCAGATATTCTGGCAGGAAGCTTCAATTAACTAAAACAGCACTCCACAGCTCCGCGGTAGGTCATTGAAAACTACAAGCCCACAGCCGCTAAGGCTGTCGGGACTTGAGTTCATTCATTCATGAAAGTCCGTGAACTAACGATGCGGCCCTGTGGGCAGGGCCCCAGCACGGCCGCGCTGTTTTCAAATTTGACAGAGGGAGGGGGGCGGCTGGCAGCGGATGCAGCCATGGGAACATGTTACATGTTCCACCCTAAAAACATGTTCCCAACGGTGAACAAAACTAACTGAAAAACCTTTGCACTGCAATTTGTGAAGGAGGAGTGAGACAAGATCAAGGTAAAGCAATGTCGCTCCTAATTTATAGTATGAAAACTTGCACCACTCAGTTATAGGAGAAAAAAATAGGAAATCTGAGTTACCTAAACAATATAGGACTTGGATTCTTAGATCATAGGATATATGCAGGCTAACTTCAAGTAACTGGACACTGGCATAAAAACGTGCTAAGACCACCCCTAGAGCATACTTTTATAACCCCAGTCTCCAGTTGTTTTTTTAATCAATATACAGAGGGGAGGGGCTTGTATCTTGTTCAGTATTTCAAGATAAAGAATTTTCAGGTAAGTAAAAATTCCAATTATCTTAAATTACACATTACAGGACACAGGAATTCTATTCATAGACCTTAGGACGTACCAAAGCAATAAACAGAGGTGTGAGCAACAACAGGCCCGCAGGAAATCAAGGGTTAGTGAACCCAAAGAAAATTATCAGAAAAGAGCGCCTTGCAGCCAAAGCTTGCATCAGTTAAGGCCCGATCATCCACCTGGCAGAACATAGAGAACATGTTAAAACAGAAGGAGGTTGAATTGGGGGATTTATATAGCAACTCCCTGAAGCCATCCATTTGCAATTGTAAATCTTGCAAGAGTTAGATTGTATTGCTCTGAGCAAGCTGAGAGTAACAGATTCAGAAATACCCTTATGCTTTAGGATTTAGTTTTCAACAACCATGCCATTAAAGCCAGCAACTAAGAAGGAGGGAGGATGGAATGGGGCCTTGGGCTTAAAAGTCTGGAGTGTTTGGAAGAGGCCAAGGCTAATTCACCAGAAATCTGAGCATGTTTGTGCACCATGTTCTTCTGGGCCAGTTTGGTATGATAGGAATAACCGGAATCAGTTTCTTCATCTATCTTGCGCAGCAGTCAAGGAAGGATCTTCATCAGGGGAGCACATAAACCAGTCTGGATGGAGTCCAAAGAATCATCAGAGCATCTACAGAGAAGCCAAGAGGAACCCTGGTCTTGGCCATTAATTTGTTGAGTTTGGTGTTGAACCTGGAGGCCAGGATGTTCACATCTGGATTTCCCCACCTTTGACAGAGAATTTGAAAGATCTCTGGGTGCAAAGCCCACTGCCCCAGGTCTGAGCGTTAAGCTGGCCATAGATGGATCGAATCTTGGCCGGTTCAGCAGGGACTGGCCAAGATTTGATCCATCTATAGGCAGGCTGGTTGTACTGAAGTCAATCCATTCCATTGGATTTTATGCATGCAATGATTGACAGAGATTATAGCTGCTAGCAGTAATCATTGAGTTCTGCCAGCAGGGAAGGCTCCCCACTGGCAGAATAAAATAGTGCTGCAGTAGGGATTCCCCCATCAACACTGACTGTGTTGATGGGAGTAAAATAGAGTGATTTTCTATTCTTGCAACCCTTGGTTACAGGAAAGAAAACTGTATCACCTATGGCTTGACTTACGCAGTATGCCTGCCAATTGTCCACTCCAGTGCTATAGACAACTGAAAGAGTGAGTGGAATGTGAGTTTTTGCCCAGGAGAATACCAGATTTGTTTCTTTTGGGGCAGCTTGCCCTCTGGTTCCCACTTGATGGTTTATGGGATGGTTTTCTGCTGTAGCATTGTTTGTCTGTACTGGTTTGGGCTGTGTCCAAAGGTTTAGCATAGTATAATCACAGCCAGAATCCTGTGCAGAGCAAGACCTGCTATCTAGAACAGAGTTCTGAAAAGGGCTTCCAGCTGCTTATCTGTTGGATCTTTAAAAGCTGGTTCATCTTCCAACAGGTAGTTTCCATGTTAAGGTAGGATATGGCTGGATACACAGAAAGCATGGACCACTAGTTCATACCAAACAGAAACAAAGCCAGAAAAGGAAGGTGCGTACAACCTTTGTAGAGAAATAACTGGAAAAGCGGGTGCAAAGAAAAGTCTTTACTTCAATTGCTTCAAAGTATGTGAATAAGTGCAAAAACTGATTCCTTGGGAGCAATAGCAGTAGACTGCCACCCCTCAGGTGTAATCTCATCCAAAAAAAGTTATATAAATATACTCCTGCACTCCACAGAGTTATTTAAACAAAGCAAGCTGCTACCATCTAAATCCTATACCTTGGGATCCAAAAAACCTCATCGAAAAAAAGACTTGAAAGACTCAGAATCAGAGTCTCTGCAGCCAATAGTTCAGAAGCTACTAAGACAGTGTATAATTCAGATATACTGTAGAATCTACTGAAGAGGGCACAGGAGAATGTTTTTGGCGTCTGTGATCAGAGTTAGCAAATACCTGAGTAGTTTAGGACAAAGTCCTGCATGATTGTAGTATAAATTTAATCCGAAGTACAACATGACTCTCTACTACAGACATTAGCGATTTAGGTAGGTACACTGCAAACAATCCATTACTTGTTAGTGGAATGTGAGTTGAGGGTTCTTGGTACAGCAAGACTTTTCTTTAGAATAAGACACGTTGTGGCTGCAATGTGGTTAAGCAAAAGCAGAGGGCAGCATCAACTCAGGCTGCAGACATTGGCACCTTGAGTTAGGCGTGCTGGAAGCAGCCCTGAACCTGTTAGTAGAAAGTGAATTGGGTGCTCCTGGTACAGTGGGACTGTCTCCTCTGTATCTAGAATCAGCCCTGCTGTGACCATGTAGTGGTAAAGCAACATACAGACTCAACAGACCCACGAAACCCAGATAGCTATTAATAATAGAGGATCAGTGACCAGAGGACTGTAGGTGGACAGTAGGAACAGATTAAAGATCCGTGTGACTCTGCAACAGGAGTAGCAGTGGGGAGAAATTACTTCAATGCTATGGTGGGAAAGAATGCATAGCTCAGAATGCACAACACTATGTTAACCCTGTGCATAGCAAAGTTGGCAGACAACAAGGAATAATGGCATCCAGCAACCAATAAAAATGAGTGAGTCCCTGGTGTTTGGCCCAGTGAATTTTCAGAGAAAAGCCGAGGGTAGAGGCAATATCAGTGGCTTTTGGCCTGAAAAATACCTAGCATAAAGTGGCTCGAAGGCCATAAGGTTCATAACCTTATTGCATTCTCTGTATTCACTGCCTCCTGCTGCTGTCAATCAAATCCTATGACGAGGGAGCAGTGGGCAGGGCAAAGCCCTGCTGTGTCTATGGACACACAGAGCTGGCTCAGGAGCTCGCTCGCATGAGTACCCCCCTCTTAGCAAGCAGCTTCCTGGGGGGGGGGGGTTACTCGCTATGGAGGAGGAGCCAACAGCAATGGGCTAGACACACCAGAAAAGGAGGATAGAAGCTTCTCTGTGCAAAACCATTGCACAGAGCAGGCAAGTATAATTTGTTTGTTATTAAAAAACAAAGGTTTTGGATCACTTTAATCAGAACTAAGTGTGAAAAGTGCCTCACATGGAACCCAGTGCCTGAAAGTCACTTCTAGGCTAGCCTTGGAATGTCCAGTCCAGTGGGGTTCAGATGCAGTACAGTCCAAAGGCTGTAAAAGTAAAATAAAGGACGAAAATATCCAGAATGCCTGCAATGATCTATAAGTATTTGTTTGCTGATTGCCATTGCTAAACATTTAAAAAGGTGCCTTTGATATAATTTTTATGATATGGGTGATGATCCTGTTTAAGTAGCAGTGTAGAGAAAAGTTTTGATCGAAGAAAAAAATAACAAAAATTGTTAGAAAAATCAGAGGTTAGTCTTTACCGTGGACACAGTAAAAAAAATAAAGCATGCTGCTAGTAGGAGGGATTATACCCTGGGCTGACCTAGTTTTTTGTTTGGTAGTGTTCAGGGTCTCCTGTAAGCAGTAGTATAACGTGAATCTTTAAAGTGTAACTAAAAAGACAAAACTTTTTTTTTTTACTGTTTTTGTTTTGGAGAAGGATTAGAACACCTGCCAGTTTTTGTATTGCTATCTGACCCCCCTTAGGGATATTCACCCTATTTCTCCTAATTGCCATTATCATCAAAAGTAAAAGAATATCCCACATTTTGACATCAGAACATTAAGAGGGGAAATCTTCCAATGAGGACACCAGTTTTGGTGACTCTGGAGACACACTGGTATTCCCTCACTTTGGTGGTATTACTTCTCACTTCCTGTTTTGGCTATGGGACAGGAGAAGGGAAATCTCCCAAATGGGACACAGATGGACAACCCCCCCCCCCCCCGAAAAAAAAAAAAAATTCCTTCCCTTAATCCTATCCAAAATGAAATAAAAAAGTTTTTCGTCTTTAGATACACTTTAAAAGTTTTGCTGTCCATCAAAGGAAACGTATGGCCAAAGTTTTTTTGGCTATACTTATCCTGTGGGTCACAGGAATGCAATCCTTTTTCAGCTGACAGTGGCCTAAAGCCCACTGTTGGCTGATGTCACAGACCTGGTCTAGACTCTGAAAACAGATCCTGACCACATGGTTGGGATTTGCCCAGAAGCCTGAGCAGACAGCTGGCTCAGCCTCTCGGTAAGCTGCCAAGAGCCTGAGTAAGTTGCTCCCAGCCCAGCGCTCCAGTCAGCACTGGAGGGGCAGAGCAGAGAACTGGTGACTGAAAGTTACCAGCTCTCTGCAAGCTGAAGACCGAGAGCTAAGCAAGTAGCGAGGTTTGATTGCTCAGTTCTCAGTTTTAGAGGCAGCGGGGGGCAACTGCAGCTGGGATCGGTGCTGCAGCCATCTGGGGGAGTATGATTTTTTTTTATATTCCTGAAAGAAAAGGTGTTTATAAAATTTGCAGAGCAAAAGCAGGTAGCAATTTGCAAAGTTTACAAAAAACATTAAAATAAACTAATCCTCTTTTTTTTTAAAGTGGTTCTAAAGCAGGGGTCTCCAAACTTTCTAAACAAGGGGCGAGTTTATTGTCCTTCAAACTTTAGGAGGGCCGGACTGTGGTCAGCGGGAATAGAAAATGTCTTGGTGTCAGTGGGAGTAAACCGTGTCCTCTTTTCGATATTAAAAGGGAGGAATAGTGCCCCATCGTTCGTGTCAGTGAGATGAATAATGCTCCATTCTTGGTGTCAGTGAGAGGATTCATGCCCCATTGTAGGTGTCAATGGCAGGAACTATGCTCCATCGTTGCTGACAGTGGGGCTAAAAGTGGCCCAAGGTTTGGAGACCACTGTTCTAAAGGCTGGGTGTTTTTTTTTTTTTTTTAACCTTAATGCATTCCCTGCATTAAATTTAAAAGCACCCCGCTATTCCCCCCCCCCTTCCCTCTTTAAACATTTACCTGTGCCCGTCACGGATCCAGCACTGTGCCCCGGTTGCAGTCTTCTCTTCCCTCTCTTCCTCTTCTCACAGGGGCCACTAGAGCAGGGAGAAGGGTGCAGGGCTGAGCCGCATTGACTGTGTCAATGGACACAGGCAACATGGCTCTGTACCGAGCATGCACGTATGCCTCCCATAGCAGCTTGCTAGGGGGGCACACAGAGAAGAGGAGGAGCCAGAAACACCAGTGGGGGACCCATGAAGAAGAGGATTGGGGATGCTCTGTAAGAGCAGGTAAATAGGATGTTTGTTATTTTAACAAAAAAAATACTAGCCTTTAAAATCACTTTAATCAAAGTTATAGAACTTTATGCTTACCTTGGGAATCCACTTTCCCCCGAGAAACTGATTGCACAGGGGACACATAGGAGGTTTATGCCTTGTTACATAACTAAAAGTGCAGGTAGGGTTTGTGCAGCTGCCTCGCCCTCTTCTGGTGTACGTGGTAGCCTGCGGACAGAAGGGAACGGTTACTTTTCTCATACATTACACTAGGGGCCTAAGAGACTGGCATGACCTTAAAAGGGAGGGTTCACAATTACCACAAAAACTGCCTATGCAGATAAGGGGTGTCTGTAGATGAAAAACTGTGCAGCTCTGACTAAAGTTGAATAATACCCTTGCAATAGGTGTAGGCAATTTACATACCTCATGCAGCCTGCCTGGAATACTTCTAGGATGCTGCTAACTGAGGCCTAGGCATTACTGTTCACCTCCTCCATCACAGGAGCGAGCTCTCAGACGATGAGCTCAGAGCTATTACATCAGGGGAGAGAGAGCGTTGTGTGGGGGTCTAAATCAGAGAAAAAGCTCACTCATGTAATGGTGAGGGTGAGCAGTAATGACTAAGCCTCACACTAGCAATGTCCTGGAAGTACTCCACTCAGGCTTCATGAGGTACCTAAATGGCCTATACATATAACAAGAAAATTATTCAACTTTAGTCAGAGACACACAGTTTGTTTTTATCCACAGATGCCCCTTACCTTCATAGGCAGTTCTTTGGGGAAAGTGAACTATCCCTTTAAAAGTACTCAAGCTAATAGTGCTACAGTGCAAGCACCCTATAGCGCCTGTAGGTAAAGTTTGTAAACATTCAGTCAATGTCACTGTCCTTGTACAGCCTCTTTAGATCCCAAGCCTTGTAATCATATGCATAATGACGTTTTAACATGATAATGTAATTTCAAATGTTGCTTTCAATCTTCAGCTTTCATTAAAATAATACCTGGTTATCCTGCACAAAGAGCCTTGTTAAGGCAGTTACTAAGGGATGGCAGCTATCTCCAATGTTGTCACCCTGTCATATGTTTTCCTGATAGAAATTCAAGCAGCTGTGCTGACACACATTGCACAGGTATGGTCCACCTTTGATAGGAAGCTGGTACAGTTGGTTCTGCAGCATACCTCACACGACCCCATTCTGCTGATTTGGTTATATTTAGAGCTAAATTTAAGGCAAGCAGCTAAATACACATGTGGAAGCGGTGTTACTTGTGAAAGGATTTGTATATCTGTCCATTCAGTCCTGAAATTTACACAATTCTGCTGAACAGCACAGCCCTGCCTGGTACAGGAGGAGATCTTCTCTTTCTCTGCTGCAGTTTCACTTTGACAGGCTTTTGACAAACTGCCAGCGGCAGAGCTGGACATTACACCTATGCCTCCCAGGCACCCAAAAATGCCCAAGTTTGACGTCGATGGGCCAAACCAACCATGTTCACAAAACCTTACAAGGAAGCGCTGCTTTACCGATTAAAGTATTTGTATTTCTGATCAGCCAGTCCTGAGATTTATATAGCCATACAGCACAATCAGGCTGGTGAGCTGAACTCTCTATTACTTTAGAGACAATATGTAATACTCTCTGGCCTCCCCTCCCCCCACCCCGTCTGTAATTGGATGCTGAAAAAAACTGCGGAATACCGTTGAGATCATGGCTCTCCGCCTTACTTTTTCTGTGAGTTGAATAAGCACCGGATACTAAATTCAGAGATATATATATATATATATATATATACATATATATATATATATATATACATATACACATACATACATACACACACACACACACACACACATTATATATATATTACATACATACATACATACACATATACACACACACACAGTTGTGTTCAAAATATTGGCAGTGTGTTGAAAAAGTGAATAAAGCTCAAAATCCTTCTAATAACTTTTATTTCCATACAAATGCATTGGGAACACTACACATTCTATTCCAAATCAAAACATGAAGAAAAATATATCAAATTTGTGTTGTTCCTCTAAAAAGATTGAAGAAAAGTGAATATTAGACTGTTCATAAAAATAGCAGTGTTTGTATTCTTCTTTAAAAACTCAAACATTCACTATATAAACTGAAAAATGTTTGAAGATTTTGCTTTCCTTTGAATCACTTAATTAATATTTAGTTGTATAAGCACTGTTTCTGAGAACTGCTGTACATCTGTGTTGCATGGAGTCAGCCAACTTCTGGCACCTGTGAACAGGTATTCCAGCCCAGGATGATTGGACTACATTCCACAGTTCTTCATTCTACATTCAGGGTCTTCCAGATATTGCTTTAACTTCCACTGTTCCTGATGACTGCCATTTCTTAATTACATTCCAAACAGAGGATATTGACATCTGAAAACGCTTTGCTATCTTCTTATAGCCTTCTCCAGCTTTGTGAGCGTCAACTATTTTCAGTTTCAGTTTTCTAGACAACTGCTTAGAAGAACCCATGGTGCTGATTGTTGGGGCAAGGTCAGATGAGTCTGGGAATTTAAAACCTTTGAGATTGACGTAACCTGGTCTTCCCAGACGATGATTGAGAACAATCCATGACACTGGCAGGTCTCAGCTTTGCAAAGGGGGCAGTACAAGATATTAACTCTGCAGGGTGCCCAAACTTTTGCAGACGCCATTTTTTTGTTTTCTGTTATTTTGAAAGTGTAAAATGATGGAAATAAAATCTAACTTTTGTTGACATATTATAAGAATGTCTAATCTGTAATTTGATGCCTTTTGGAGATTTTTCCATCTTTCCTTGACTTCTTTATGCACATTAATACAAATTTTTAGCTGGGGTGCCCAAACTTTCGATCCCCACTGTATATATATACACACACACACACACACACACACACACACACACACACACACAAACACCACTTCCCCAGAGTAGAAGTTTTTCGCAGTCACCAGTTAGTGTCCCTGGTCACTGCCACAACAGTTAAATGTTGACGCTGTACTGCATGGTGACAGTATGTGGAAAAAAAAAAAATAAAAAAATTGTGAAAAGGTCTCCATATGACAAAAAATTACAACTTTAAAAAACTTGCCATGCCTCTTACTGAATACCGCAGACTGTCTCCTTTCCAAAAAGGGGTAATTTGGGGGATATCTGTACTGTCCTGACATTTTGGGCCCCAAGAAATGAGATCAGTGCCGTCAGTACTTCAGGATTGATCGATTTTCAGATATATACCATAGTTTGTGAACTCTATAACTTTCCTACAGACTAAATAATATACACTCATTTGGGTTATTTTCATCAAATAAATGTAGCAGCATACATTGTGGCCTAAATGTATGAAGAAAAATAATTTATTTGCAGAATTTTATAACAAACTAAAAAAAATGTTTTTTTCAAAGGTTTTTTGGTCTTCTTTCATTTATTTAGCAAAAAAATAAAAAAGACAGTGGTGATTAAGTACCATCAAAAGAAAGCTCTATTTGTGTGAAAAAAAATGATAAAATATCCCCATTAACCTTAACACTCTGGCTACTTCTAAACTTCTGAGACGAACCACTTTTTTTTTACCTAAAACAAACAATGGGCACATGCTTCTACTCACTCTTATGGTAATTGCCTTGACCTTGTATTCTCCTACCTATGCACTCCTTGAAACCTCACCAACTTTTCCTCTCTGATCACTCCCTTATTAGCTTCACTCTCTCCTTGGCTTCCTCCTCATCTTCCAAATACCGAACAATTACCCATAAAAACACTCACTATCCTTACCCTTCTCTTCTTTTTTCTGCAACAGATTGTCTCTATGACATAACCTCAGCCCTGTCCTGCCCCAACCTGGCTACTTCGGTCTACAACAGTTCACCGTCATCCACCCTGGACACATTGTCCTCCCTTACTACACACACAAAAATAGGCCCTGACCACTACAGCTCTGGCAAAACAGACAATACCAGATGCCTCAAAATACATAGCCATGCTCTTGAGCGTTTATGGCGTAAGACTAAGACCCAGCAGCAAGACTTCGACCTATATAAATCTGCCCTTCAGTAATACTATTCCTGTCTCCACACTGCCAAACAGACCTATTTTATCACTCTCATTAACACCCTCTCACGCAGTCTCCGTCAACTCTTTTCTACCTTTAACTCTCTACTTTGTCCTTCATTACCTCCACCAACTAACTCATTCACTGCCCAGGAGATTGCCAATCACTTAAAAAACAAGACTGATACAATTTGTGACGAGATCTCCACTGTAGATATCTCCCTCACCCTACACTCCTTGTCCACCTGCATAATCAATACTTCCCTTGTTTAACCCAGCTACTATAGAGGAAGTTTGTAAACTTTTTTTCTAAAGCCCACCTAACCACCTGTTCCCTGGACCCTGTTCCTTCGCAAATACTACGGTCACCCTCTGACTCTATCATTCACTCTAACTCATATCTTCAATCTCTCCCTTTCTACTGGCATCTTCCCCAACCCTCTAAAACATGCGCTAGTCACCCCCATACCTAAAAAGGCCTCACTGGACCTCACTAATCTTGGCAACCTAAGACGCATCTCCTTACTCACTTTTGCCTCCAAACTCTTTGAATGTCTAGTGTACAACTGGCTGAGCTGCCACCTCATTGAGAATAGCCTTCTCGATCCCTTTCAGTCTGGATTTTACCTAAAACACTCCACAAAAACTGCTCTCCTAAAACTAACAAACGACTTACTAACAGTTAAAAATAATGGTCACTATTCCATACTATTACTCTTGGACCTCTCTGCTGCCTTTGACACAGTTGACCACCCCTCCCCTCCTCCTCAAAAACTCTATTTACTTGGCCTTTGTGACTATACTCTGTTGCTTCGAATCTTGTCTATCTCACCGCACCTTCTGTGTCACTCACAAGTCTACTTCCTCCTCTCCTACTCCTCTTACCTTTGGGGTCCCCCAAATTCCTGTCCTTGGACCTCTCCTATTCTCGATCTACACTTCTATCTCTCTACTCCTCAGCTCACCCCATCAGTTTCCTCACGTATCACTGACAGACATATCAGACTGGATGTCACTCAACTTCCTAAAACTCAATATATCTGAAACTGAGCTCATAATATTTCCTCCCCCACATGCCTCTTCCCCTGATTTCTCTGTCAAGATCAATAGCACAACTATCAACCCCTCCCCGCATGCCAGGGTGCTAGGGGTAACCCTGGATTCTGATTCAGAATATGCCCCTTTTTAACCATTGATACCACAAAGCTTCCTCTTCATTCCCCGGTTATCTCTCGCCTCGACTACTGCAACTCCGTCCTCATTGGCTTACTTTTTTTAGGCTATCCCCCCTTCAGTCCATCATGAATTCTGCTGCCAGACTCATCCACCTTTAAGTGCAGCAGACCATATTTTATTAAGGTTGAAAGGTAGAAACTCTCACATGGTTGAGGTAAATATAAGCATTAAAAAAATCGTAGTAGGTTGTAACATCGGTCAGGTGGGTGTACAGGGTGAAGAGCTGTCATCAGAAGGGAAGATGGTGTAGTCAGCGTGCCGCTGGAGACAACATCGTTCTTCCACCTCCCCCTGCTTGAGAAAGGAGCGCAATTCCGCCTTTGCAGGCCAGCGCATGCTCCGAACGCGTCGCAGTGCATTCTGGGTGTCTGACGTCATCACAGCCACGCCGCCGCTGCGTTCCAGCGTGCGTTCCACCAGGATCTGAAGGGAGGACCTGCACGCCGGCCGGCTCCTCAGCTGTTCCCCTCCAGCCACCACGCTGCTCCAGCGGCACGCGCTGACTACACCATCTTCCCTTCTGATGACAGCTCTTCACCCTGTACACCCACCTGACCGATGTTACAACCTACTACGGTTTTTCAATGCTTATATTTACCTCAACCATGTGAGTGTTTCTACCTTTCAACCTTAATAAAATGGTCTGCTGCACTTAGAGGTGCTTCTTGCGCTTCTTCTCCTTCTCTCATCTACAGAGTTTGCTACAGCACTTTCGGAATCATTGCCCTTAGTGCCATACGGGCCAATCCAAGTTCATCCACAACATCACCAGCACCCCACACCAGGATAGCCCAGGACTTTGTTCAGTTTTTGCGCTGATCATCCCCTTCATCTCTTCAGGCTCATCCACCTTACCAACTGTTGAGTGTCTGCTACCCCTCTCTGCTAATCCCTCCACTGGCTTCCACTCACCCAACAAATAAAAAATTTAAAATACTAACAACTTACAAAGCCATCCACAACTCTGCCCCCAGCTACATCACCACCCTGGTCTCGAAATATCGACCAAACTGCTCTCTTCGATCCTCCCAAGACCTTCTGCACTCTAGTTTCCGTGTCACCTCCTCCCACGCTCGCCTCAGGACTCCTCCCGAGCTTCTCTCATCCTATGGAACTCCCAAACCCCAATCTGACCAACTATCTTCTAATCTATCCACCTTTAGATTATCCCTGAAAACTCTTCTCTTTAAAGAAGCCCATCATGTTTCTTACTAGTAAACTGCTTTTTGCTTCCTCCATCAGCTCATCCCCCACAGCTATTATCTTTTGCCTCACTCAACTCTTCCTCTTAGGATTGTAAGCTCTAATGAGCAGAGCCCTGTTTTCTTTTGTACCAAATCGTATTGTAACTGTAATGTCTACCTTCATTTTGTAAAGAGCTATATAATAATAATAATAAACAATAATATATTTGTTTATCATGATTTGGGAATTCATTTGTTCCTATACACTGAGAACATGGTTTCACTTTTTTATATATGGGAAGTGATTTTGAGTTTTTGGTGGTATATTATCTATGATTGAGTTGTTTTAAAGTCTGGATGGACCTGCACTATTTAGTTTACTGACTCAACGTAGGTAACTGCCACATCTGCAATATTTATCGGTACTGAATTGACAGTTTATATATTGCATATTATTGTATTTGATATTTGGCAGAAAAAAAAAAATATCTCATGCAACAAGCATCAGTGAATTGACTCCTTTGTGCTTTAAACATGGGCTAAGGGCAAAATACAATATACAAATAACAAACAAATGTGAAGGGTGTCGTAACAGTTTGAAATCATCTCAGTGTATTAACCGAGTACGGGAAATGCTAGTACTCACCAGTTTAATAGAGCGAGAGGTTTCGGTAATAGAGCGATTGGTCATGGGTAACATGATAAACTGGGAGGGGGCAGATGGAGTAGAGTTCTCCTCTGTGTCCTGCGGGAGAAATTATTGTGAAACAGAAAATTATACAAGAATGACAGTCTGATTAGTCACCAGGAGTAACTACTTCATATTTTTTCTTCAATTTTCGCTTTCAAAATTTTTTTGTTATAACTAGTCTTCATATTTACTGTTGGTAAAAACATCAATTTGGTCCTCTTACCTGGATGGCCATAACTGTGACAACAGACATTCCTCTAGGTACATCTGATCTTGAAATAGCAAGGCCGCCGTCTTCTTCAATGACCATGCTAGTGGCTGGATAAGTGCTTGTTTCTCCAATCTCCAAAGTAGCATCGTCCAGGATGATTTCCCCTGCTATTTTATCAGTTCCAGCACAGTGGGAGTAGACTCCACCAGGCAAGACTTCACGCACTGCATTTGCGCCTTCATCTGTGAGTCCCTCTAGATCGATTAGCTGTTCAGAAAGGCCTGACTCCAAAGTATAGACATTCTGCCCTCCATTGTGAGACAAAGCAGCTGAAGGAGCCAAGATTGCACTTTCCTTTGGATGGGTCAGACTTCCATCTTCTTCAGGAGGTTTAGGCACCAGGATGTACTCTGACCGGGGAAGGATCTTTCTAAACCCGGGAACATCAGAAATCATGGTGGAGGGGCTGGATTTCATGTTCTGCCCAAATTAAAACAGACATTATTGCATGTTAAATGAGACTGTAACTGAGCCATGTAGCTGGCAAAAGATGTGTAACATTTCAGTTTCTATTATGACAGGCAAATGTTAATGAAACAAAAGTTTAGAATCTAGTGTTTGTTACAAGCTAGTTATTTTAATACATATTGAAGCTGGGAGAGGCAATTACAGCTCTATGCTCCAACCCTTCTACCCGAATTCCCTGCCTAAATGAATACGGAGTCCATTTACCATCCATCTACACAAGCTAGTTGTTGGAACATCATAAGACATTTTTAAAAGGCAGATGGGAACAAAAAATTAACATCTGGAAACGAGAACAGTATCATAAATCCTTATTATTATCCTCATCACAGGTTGAAGTAGATTCTAGCCATTTATCCCATATTTTGTGATATTTAGCAGGACATCCTCTATGTGTGTAGATAACTTTCTTATACGGTAGTGTACTATTTACTGTAGCCAACCAGTTTTGTACGGTCGGCGGTAGTGCACGGAGCCAAGTTCTGGCAATTAACATTCTGGCCATGAAAAGAGTTTCTAGCAGGAAAAGACTATGAAATTTGTCGCTCTCCAAGTCAGGAAATAAGCCCAGTAGACACTTCTTAGGGCAACCCATCTTTATCATGGAAGAACCTGATCACCTGAACCCAGTGCCCCTGAATAACAGAAAAGAACCAAAAGAGATGGTAAAAGGTGCCATTGGCAGCCCCACATCTGGGACAAAGTGGACTATATTGTGGTCGATATCTAGATACGTGAATAGGCATCAGGTAGGTTCTGTGAAGTATGTACAAGTGACTAAGGCGGTCTGACAATTTCGGAGAGACTACCTTACTTAAATCTAGCACCTCTTCCTAGACTTCATCCTCAAACTCCCCCACATTTGCCTCGCACCGGGATTTGAGTTGATAGGCCAAATTTGTGGCAGTTGGCAGTTATAAAACATGGAAAAAAGCATTTTAGACTCCGAACCTAACATCACATCCAGGGGATGCAGAGAGTTCAAATTCGGGGTGGAGTATGACATTTTTTACCCAACCCATGGACAACTAGGTGAAACAAACAATCTAGTCACTCAGAAACCAAAACATAAATACAACAATATCAGATATATGAAAACACAGGAAAAATCACATGTATAAATATTTAGCACAGAATATACAGTAGTCCTGTATCTGTCTTATGCCAAAGTGTAACAAATAAGAGTTAACCAATTTAAAATATATCTAAACCCTAAACAAAAGTTTAACATATTGTAGCTTTTCATTCCTTCAGTAGGGTGGCTGCATTAGTTTACTTTTTTTCCCAGGCTTTCTTTCCCTTTTTTTTTTTGACGTGATGATTTTACAAAGATATACTGTAAATATTAGTTAAATTTAAAACTGTATTTAATGTATTAAAATAGTATTTTTGGAGGGGGGCGTGGCTTAGCAGCAGCGCGAGATGACTGCATGATTCTGCAGCTTTGCTCTTCCAGGTGACATACAACGGCAGACCAATGATCCATCCCATTTTACGCGGTTCCTGCAACACAGCTTACATCTTTGGGCACTCTGTTGGCCATGTCCAGCAAAAAGAGCAAGCCTACAGATCCTCACAAGCTCGGTGTTCTTCCTGCAACCAGCCATGGCTCCCCAAGACAGCGCTTCTCCAAGAAGAGCATGCAGATTTCTTCCTCTCCAAAGCACACTGAGGCCGATTACCCCTCTGACATAGAGGAATCATCTGCTGAGACCCCAGCCACTTTCCATCAACAATAGGATAAGATTAAGACAGCAGCTCCCTCTCCTGCACCTTCTCCCTCTAAAGCATCTGTAAGTAAAAAGCAACAAGGGGCTAATACTGACATCTTAACTGAGAAGAGCTAAATCCCTGACTGCCATACCCACTTCTGACAGCCCTGCATCAGAGCATGCATTAAAAATATGCTATTATCTTATCTCTACAAAAAGGCCTCCAGAGAGACTTGTGTACATCTATTTCATGCGTTCAGCCCAGATTAGAACAAACAGAGGAACACACTGATTACTTAGATAGGCAAATGGGGAATACACTACAAAATGGTTGATGCCCATAATGCACTGCATAACTGGAGGATCGCTTCAGACAGCGCAACATTAAAACTGGGGGGATCCCATAATCCATCATGCTTAGTGAATTAACACAATATCTTCAACAGCTATTCCTTAAGTGGTTCTAACAGGGATAAAGTTTTTTAGCTTAATGCACGAAAATGTAAACCTTTACAAATACTTTAAGACCCATCCAAACTAATCTCTGGCTGGCTTTGTCATTGATCATGCCCATAGAACTATAAGGCCCAGCTACCTACTTGCCTCAGTACCTAGAGATGTGTTGGCTTGAATTCACTTTTTTCACATTAAAGAGCAATTGCTCACAGCTGCTAAATCCGCTTTCTTTCTTTACCTGAACCCTATGTGCATGTTTCATTATATGTAGATTTCTTGGCTGCCTTTATGCTGTGTTCTTGAATTTTTTAAAAAATGTTTTGCTTTGCTGTGTATCACCTGCATACAGAGCTGTTACAGATACTGAATTTATTTTGGTCTCTTTTGACACTAAGCCATATTACCTTTTTCACTTAATATCAAACTAAACGGCTTACCAGATTCTTCAAGAGATCATTTGCTATGGAAGAAGGCACACAAACATAACAATATTTTATGTGTACAAGAAAAACACTTTGCCAGAGATAGACTGCCCAAATGCCAACAAAGATTCTTCTCCAATTATTTCCATGGTGTGAAAAAAAGGGGAGTGATGATTGCAGTCAGAAACTCCTTTCCTTTAAACTGAAGCATGTAGAAACTGATATACAAAGCACTGATGGTATACCATCAGCCTCTTACAATCCCCCCCCCCAGTTATAACATCTATTTAAGGCCCAAAACACCTATTTATTTGGGACAATTTTAATGATGTAGCAGACTCGGTTTTAGATTCCTCTAACACAGGGGTGGGCAACTGTGGCCCTCCAACTGTTGGTGAACTACAAGTCCCATCATGCCTCTCTTTTGGGAGTTATGCTTGTAACTCAGTTTTGCAATGCCTCATGGGACTTGTAGTTCTACAACAGCTGGAGGGCCACAGTTGCCCACCCCTGCTCTAACAGGCTTAGAAGAAGATCTACAGCGCCCTCCTCTTTTTTTTTTTTAGTGCCGATGGCCTTTATGACCCCTGGTGCTGCGTTCATGACAATTACATGGACTACATCTACTGACATACCAAACACTTGTATTCATATAAATACACACTACAGAATGTTTCTTCTGCCCAGATTAGGCTTATCATTTGGTCGGACAATGCATGTCATCATTACATTTTTACCACTCCTTCCCTCAATAGATGCATTCTATGGAGACTTAATAAATCATTGCTTACCCACCATTAGGAACAGATCAAATTCAAGATTGACGCCTTTTTCTGTATCAATACAGGCTTAACCCTATCTCTATCTTATGGAATGCTCAGAAATCATTCTTTAGAGGTATGCTTATTAAAATAGGTACCCAGGAGAATAAAAGGCCCGAGGTACTAATTCCTGTATTAGAACAACGCAACAAACCCACTCTTCATGTTGCACCAGAATTATGTAACCTTGTAAACCATTTGACTGTTCATCTTCACAAACATTTTGGTTACTATATTAAAAAAGGCTCCGTATCACTTGGTACTTCCCAGGGTAATAAACCCGGAGATGTCCTACTAAACAATACAAGCTCAGACTAGCACAGTCCATAATACCGCATCTCCTCGACCCCCAAGGCAAAAAATGAATATCGGTCCACACATATGTGGACCGGGTGGGGTTTGTGGTTGGTAGACAGGCCTCTGATTGTACAAGAAGATTACTAGACCTTATCCAATGGGCTGAGCATCATAAAACACCTTCTCTGCTCTTATCTTTGGACACAGAGAAGGAACTTGATAAAGTGCATTGGACATATGCTTAAGGGAGGACCTTCTTAAATTGGCCTTTGAGGAAAAATCCTGTCTGCTATATTAGCACAAGGGTTTGGACTTCTGGCCTCCTATCTGAACCTTTTAACAACTCTAATGGGACTTGACAGGGCTGTCCCCATCCCTATATTATCTTTGCTCTTGTTATGGAGCCGCTGGCGGAATCCCTACGCTTCAACACACAAATTTCAGGTATCATAGTAGGACAGAGAGCATAAAATTGGACTCTATGCAGATGAAGTTTTAATTGCAATTTCCAATCCCCTTCATTCTCTTCAGAAGTTACAATCCTTACTAGAGTCCTTTAGTGCAGCCTCGTTCTAGAATACCATTTTTTTCAAAGTCCTGTATGCTAGATATTTGTCTAGATCCTATGAAGAAAGGACAAAAAACTGATTTCTCCCGAACCCATGCATAATCATTAAAATACGCAGGAATTCGGCTAGTTTCCCAGCCAGTTAATCTTTTTTGCCTGAACCTCAGTGAGCTATTAGAAAAACTTCCATTTGTTAAGATCTCATATCCACAAATATGTCATGGGCTGGGTGCACTATGCTCTTCAAAATGTCTTTATTGTCTTCATATCTTGTACATGTTTTGCACCCTCCATATTCCAATCCTATCCGTGTATCTTCATAAATATAATCCCTCCTGAACTCCTTCATCTGAGAAAAGAAACACCCACGTATCCGCAGCTCGTTACTCTGTACATCCATGTCAAAAGGTAGAATGTGTGCTTTCAACATCTTTGCATATTATAAAGTGGTCATATTGGAACAATCACGGTGGTCATGGTGCCCCCCGTCTCTGCACCCTCCTGGATTCAAATTGAGCTCACTACACTCCCATCAGGCTCCAAGGCTCTTTTTAAGCACTTTTCTATTAACTCCTGGAACACAATTATCATTTCTGGGTCCCATCACAGGAACCCTAACAGTTTGGTTCTCCCTTTGACAGCTAAGCAATGGCAAACCTAAAATGACTCGTAAATC